GTGTTAAACCTCAGTTGTAAAACTTTTAGCCAATCCTAGTCGAAAGTGTCAATTTCTGTACCAATTATTCCAATTGCTGTATCTCCTATTTGACAAATCATTGGACGATAAGGAAAGCACGTGATAAAACTTTGTTCTCTGGATTTTACAATATGGTGGTGCTTATTATAGTAACTGCCATTTTATGTAGAGGTTGTATTTAGTACTGGCCAATAGGGCTTTTCTATAAGCGTTAGAAAAGTTGCTTCTGGAAAAAACTGCATGGGATATACGTGACTTTTATTTTTCTTATATAGTAGCTTAAGTCATGCTGCATGGTATATCTGTTTATATTAATCATTATATTGGAAAATTAACTCAAAATAGATATATTTGTTAGGAAAGAAGTTGATCCACGATTATTAGGGTTAAGAGTTACCGAGTGGCGAGTGCAAAGTCTTTACATGAATTAGACTTAGGACTTTGAACTGAAAGAGTTTGTGATTTTTTATATTCTTTTCAATTTAAATTTGTAGTTTAAAGCTCAATAATTTAGCATAATTGTATATTTAGTTCATAATAATAATAATATGATTCAGTATTTAGTAATACTATTACATCTAGGGTTGGAGTTTAGTGTAAAGGTTTGTTGCATGTTCAAACACTTTTTTACCAGTGGCACAAGGTAATAACCATGTGTTCTGTGAAGAGGAGAGAATCAGTTCTGAAATTAACTGTGACTTAACAACAAACTCAGTTTTTTAGCACTATTTTAATTAACATTGAGGAATGTGGACAAAAGTTTCTGATTATTGTCTAAGCTGTATTGAAGGTTCTGTATGCACATTTTCATATATATTTTTCTATTTTGGTTTGATAAGATGAGGATCTGTTACATACATATTACACTTAACAAGTATAAGCTATAGTAACCTTAACCCATACTCATCCTAAGAACCTGTGTTAGAATTGTTAAATTGTGGATTAGTTTGCCTCATGATATGGCATATGGATGTGATGTAAAAGCTTGTCATTAAGATTGGTTGTAGTTGAGTTTTATTTGTCTGGAAATTACAGGCAACCTCAATGACATATTTTAACTTTGTATGGTAGCTTATAATCAGATTAAGTTATTTTCCTGTTGTCAATGGTTAGAAACTATGAACACCACCATGCTACTTGGACTGCTAAGTAACAAATATGCTCTAACAAGACCCCATAATTGGAGAAAGGAAAGCCCGTGTTTTGAGTGGTGCTAAAAATGCCACTAGGGTGTAGCCATGCAATGCTACATGAAAAAAAACTCCAAGCAATCTCTTGAAAAAAAGCCCACATGTATACATCTAAAAGCCACTGGAATTTGGTAACAAGGAAAGAATTAACCAGTAGAGATGATTTGAGTCTTTTGTTAGGCCAGCCCTTTTCCAAATTTAAGCAGTGTTTTCAAAACAACAAGACTAATAATATGTTATTAAACTTTGTAAGATAATGCTACAGTAATTAAAACTTTTATGTGACAGAAGATATTAATTTTCTTTCAACTATGAATTTTATTTAGTTACTTTATGACTAAAATACTAGACTGTTAAAGTGGAAATCTTCTTTTGTGTAAAAGATACTGAAAATTTGGTTACAGCATTTCACATCTAACCTTTTAAAGTTAAAATGTTAATGCATAGCGTTCCATTACCTTAAAAATAAAACATTACACTACTAGCACGAAGAAGTTAAAGTTTTGTTAACATAACAAACTAAACTATCTGGACAGCATTTCTAATGTAATCTTTATTCATCATTCCCTTACGATTTTCAAATTTGTAAGATAGTTATAATTATCAAATTTTATTTTACATAATGAACTGACATTATTCTAAGTTGTTTGGTTTTTAGGTTGTTCAGGCTACATGAAGAATATCCAAAATACCAGGTTATTACTTGGGCTAAGTAAAAAGTTAGGATGTTTTGTTTCCTGTGGTGTTTGCAGTGCATTTGAGTAACTGCAATGACACATTGCTGTTTACATGTTAATGTAGTTAACCTGAAATGATATTATATTAGAAAAATAACTGTTTTCACAGAACATGTAAAAAAAGTAGAAGTTACAGTACAAAATGCAATTTTTAAAAGGCATGTGTTTAAAAAATACAATTTTTGATGACTAGTATGACCAACCACTGCATACTTTGATTGAGTATTTAACTTGGATATGAAATGAGAAAATAACATTTTCATTAGCTCTCTCAAACATAACCCAATATTAGAATAATTTAACAGTGACAATCAGTGTCTCATTTCAGTAATTTTTCATTCAAGCCACAGTTCTGTATAGGTGTAATAGTAATCAAAAAATAAAAGACGAGAATAATGATTTCATTTCACAACTTCATTCTTCATAATTATCATTCAACAATCTATGGGTTCTTGACATTTGACTTAATAAGAAATTACAGGAATATGTGCAGTGTAACAGATCACAATGCAAGTGTGGACTTTTTAGCACAGTATGGAAACAAAAGAAAAACTTGGATTTTACATAAAATCTAGCTTTCTATTTATATTTAACACCCAAACAAAAATGTTATCGGAATAAAATTATAATTATTGTGCAAATGCCAAAAACTGCTACAAGGCTAAAAAATACAGGTGATGCTATGTACACAAAACAATTTTAAAACATTGACCTATGCTTTGTTGAACTTATCTTTTCGAACAAAAATATTACTTTACTTACAAGTAGTTACAGATTTTAATAACTAATATGTTAAAATTAGATTCAACAACAAGTTGACCTTTCATTTTTAAATATGACATTCTGCATCTTTCCCATTAAATATTTAATATCCTGTTCATGGGTTACTTTAGATTTGAATCTGAACAGGATAGATAAACACAAAATTGATTACTTTGATCAACAAACAAGTAAGCATATTTTTAAAATGTTTTATCACATATTTGTATTCACTTGAAATAATTTAACAGTGAAAACTCTGTATCCCAAAAAATAATGATCTCAAAAATATCTGTGATTAAACCAAAAAAAAAAATCTGAAATAAATGCTACTTACCTTTTTATTCACAATTAAATTTACATTCGGCAACTCAAATATCAAGTAACAGTACATGCTTACCAACATAAAGACATGCAGCTATCCAGCAGTTATAAGCACTTTTAGAATAGAGACGTTCTGCTTCATTCAAGAACTCTTGTGGTGTTTTCCAACTTGCATTCTCATCATATGGCAAGTCTTCAGCTAAAGCAACACTTTGGGTATACAAAAATATGCCCATCAAGACCTACAATGAGAAGAGTGATATGTTTTTGAAGTTAAATAATATTTTCTAACATGTAAAGTGTAATCATTTATAAACCTTTATTTTACAGTATGAAATTCCAACTAACTTTTCAAAAATAAACATGGTAATGTTATTGTCATCCTGTACATAACATCAGACTGGTAAATTTCTATTTAACACAGATTTTCTTAAAAAATAATAACACAGAGTGAAAAGAACATGTTCCATTTAAGAAATTCTCATTAAACAAATATATTAACCCTATAACAACAATGTTGGTCAATTATTACCACCCTTATAATTGTAAAACTATACAAAATCAGAAAATTTAGTTATAGTACATCTTCATGAAAATTGGCAAACTTTTAGTAAATGGAACAAGTTTGATGTAAAGAAAAAACAGGATTTTTAATAAAGAGTTTCTATTGAAGACTTAAATTTATGAATCCTTTCCCGAGACTGAGTGAAAGGCAATTTTTATGCTAAGAATAAAAATATTTGATCTTACAGTTTTTATATTTCATTTGTATAACTCTAGAACCTCCAGGATAAATATCAAAGTAATTTTGCAAAAACTTCATATTTTCTCTACCCTAATAGTGACTATAGAGAAATCATCAATGTACAATGAAAAGTTAATAAAAATTAAGTAAAATTAAAAATACCATTTTTCCTCTGCACTGACTGCTGTATTGATCAAACAGTTCCAAACTGCATTTAACAGTTTCAACTTTAATCTTTTTCACATTTTATTTTATTTTATAGTGTATTGCTATATAATAGAATGGTCCCAAACTAGTATAACTTACCCAGCTTTCTAAGTAATCCATAAATAGGATTGGTTTGCATGGGTGTCTGCAGAAATTTTTCCAAGGGGGAAGGGTCAAAATCAAGGGACAATAACCCACTTTCAAAGTTTTGCCATTACATTATGACAAGCCCCCACAATCAGATTTGAGGTTTAATATTTGCAAGGTTAGTTTAAGCGATACTGCAGACCTACAGCTATATACACTCCATAATAGTAAATTTCGGTTGACTCTGACCATACTGTCTCATGGGATGTCTGCAAAACTGTGTCAGTCTCTTTGATAATCTGCTGCCAGTACTACCAGCAGTTGGCAACAGGTTGGCCTCGATCAAAGTGTGTTAGGGTTCATGGTATGTTGGCAAGACCACATCAGCAACAAATGTCATGTGCAATCAATATCCAAAAAGCTGACATAGTAGCAATATTTAGCTACAGGATAGGTATCTAGAGATTTTAAGTAAAGCTTTTGACAAACCTGGCATCTTTTATTAGAATCAAAAATTAAGTGTAATAAGTAGTGTGAAATTGTGAAGTGAATAAAAGACTTGTAAATTCATATACATATGCTAAATGAATAAGGAAAGAATTATGTTTCTAATTTTCTCGAGGGAAGGGGGAGTCCCAACATGGTAAAACCCTACAGATTCTTCCCAAGCCCATGAAGTTATGACAAAAATCGAGCAAACTGATTTTACAAAAAGTCTTAAAATTTGTTCATGTTCCACATCAAACAAGAACATTTCTGAAACCAAGATTTTTCATCAAATGAAATTCTGCCACTTCTATTTCTAGTGTATAGGTAGATAGAAAAAATGACTTAATGAGCATCACATTTACCTACATATACTCAAGATTACATACAAATAGACAGATATCTTGAGACATGTTCACATGAAAAGTAATTTGCTGATACCTAAGTCATTTTTGGGTTTTATGGAATGATTTTGAGGTTGTTTTTGGGTGGACTGGGTTTCAAAATGCACCTGTAATAATTGTAGAACTAGAATGTTACTGATATGTAATACAAAAAGTAGAATGCAGATGTGTCACTGGGCATTGCCCCAAATTCCTAGTTGATGTTTTGAAAAATCAGAATAGAAAACCATTTACGATAATGATATCAAAAGAAAATGCCAAAAATGTCCATGCTTATTTATGAGCCAAAGTCCCAAAACTGTTAAGCACCTAACGACGCCTCTGTAGAATGTACGTCAAGATTAATGTTTACGCTGAGCCCGAGTAGATCAATTAGGTACCTTCGACACATAAACTCCATCTTAATTATACACTAATACAGCCCCCACCCCAGTTCTCAACAGTGTCATCAACTCAAGTATACCTTATTTCTAATAACCTATATAAATATATTTCACAACTATATTTCACTGGTTTGTAAATTGTAGAGAAAAAAAAGAGACACAATTATTACTATATCAATGAATGATGTACTACAATGCCATTGTACAGTGCTTTGTCTTAGATGAAAATAGTACAGTAATTAGATTCTGGGATGTTTCTCGGGCATTAAGGTACTTTAGCTTACTCTTTCCGACCAGTTTATTCAGTTATTTATATATTGCGTTACAACTTACTGTTATTTACTTACCAGCATTATTATCCCCCAAACGCTCAAGATTGTACAACATACTGAAGTTTTAGGTCCGCAAATCCTCATGTTGTAAGCTCAACAACAAAAGTTAAATCATGCAGATCGTCAATCACTTTTTAATTAACGATTAATTTTACACACAAACTTGTAATCAATGTTTGTTGAAAATATAATTTCCAAGCTTAAGTCATATGACATGCGTGAATTTTTGCGCCCTCTGCTAGTGTAGAAAGCATTCATTTAACTACATACTTAATAGTGTGGTGAAAAATTTGTATACTCATATATGTCTCATATTTCACAACCAGTTTACGAGAAAAGGCACCCAAGTTTCTCCAACTTTCAAAATGTGATTGATTGAGATTTTGATATTTTTCAACAATTAATAAAAGGATATTACAATACACAATAATGCTTAACAAACGGAGACGTAACATTGATTTTTCCGTAACTTCGTTCCAACGAAACTTTAACGACACAAGTCTTTACTTAATAAAACTGGTTTATTCTTTCCGAATATAACTCTGCGATACACTTAATCTCAATACTCGCGCTAAAACAACACTGTAACGAACGAACGTTAACTTCAACAATACCCTGTGACTGCAGTTCAATTACTCACTATCTACCCAGACATTACATTCCCCTCTTTTATATACCAGCGTACCCTATTTCTAGTAAGAACTTGAACATTCGCCAAAGTACATGATAGTTCTAGAAACGTTGCGTCACGGTGGTCATGTGACTCGCTGACGCAACAATATTAATGTTGTATCTATTTCCCTCAGTTCATGTTGTCAGACTGTTTCCTTTACGTCTGTTCTATGTTCATGTTGTCAGACTGTTTCCTTTACGTCTGTTCTATGTTCATGTTGTCAGACTGTTTCCTTTACGTCTGTTCTATGTTCATGTTGTCAGACTGTTTCCTTTACGTCTGTTCTATGTTCATGTTGTCAGACTGTTTCCTTTACGTCTGTTCTATGTTCGTGTTGTCAGACTGTTTCCTTTAACTCCATTTTATGCTACAATCGTGTTCACGAAGAGTTTTCCTACTGTTCTCTAAATATGGTTAAAACCTTGTCATGGTTTCCAGTGCTTTCGTTAATTTTTGATATCCAAACCAAAATTTTTGAGATTTATTTAGTCCCTTCGTGGGCCTGCGGTAAATTTACGGATTTAAAACGTTAAAATCCAGGGCTCTATTCCGGCGGTAAACATAGCTTTGCGCTAAATAAACAAACCAGAAAAATAATATATTTTTATTAGCCTAAAAACATGACATAGCTTCTGACAAACTGTTGGTTAGCGTTTTTAAAATCAGACCTTAAGGAAATACTTGTCTACTACAACGTATATGGTTCTGTTACGTCTCCGTTTGTTAATTCATTTCCCGTAACTTCGTTCCGACGAAACTTAAGCGACACAAGTTCTTTCTTAATAAAAACTGGTTTATTCTTTCTGAATATAACTTTACTGATACACTCAACTACAACAATCGCGCTAAACAAACGCTATAACAACGAACGTGCTCAATAATACTTCTGACTGCAGATCAATTACTCACTGTCTACACACACATTACATTCCCCTCTTTTATATACCAGCCTACC